GCAAGAACTTTTGGAGAACAGAAGACACGCAAAAGTAGTTCCAGTAAAACTGTAGGAAAATTCTATGCAGAATTGTTGAAAGAACAGATTTGGAGAATTTAGAAAAGAAGCACCATTAAAATTCTAGCTTAAGCTCACTGAAAATAAGTCATGACAAAGTTCATTTCTTTTCTCTGGGTACTACATGTAATCCGTAACTACAAGTAATTGAAGCTGTGTCCTCAGACTTGATCTGTTCAAGACTTTATTCTTTTATGATGGTATCTCAATTTTATTTAGGAGAACTCTTCTGGCTATTTCATAGACATCTCATGTCTATTGACATGTCTTAACATATCTAATAGTTCCCCTAAAACCTGCTCCATCTATGATCTCTAACATCATAGCAACTACATCCTTCCGTTGCTCAGGCCAAACATCTTAAAGTCATTCTTCACTCCTCTCTCTTTCTCACACTCCACCTTGAAATTCAACAGCAAATGCCATTGGTTTTACCTTTAAAATATGTCAAGGATCTGACCACTTCTGACCACTGCTTCTGCTATCACCCACACCCAGCACCATTCACCATCTTTCCTCATCTAGCTTATTATGATGGCTTCTAAAGGAAATCCCTACTTTTATTCTAGGCCACCTACATTCTACCATCCTTTTCAAACACAAGTCAAGTCGCATCACTCCTTGGATAAATCCCTCCAGTGACTCTCCATTTCATTCAAAGTCAATACCAAAGTCCTTACTGTGGCCTCCAGGGCCACTAATGAAATGCCTGGCCTTCTTCTTTTCCTTCTTCCTTCTCTTTTGCTCATTGACCTTAACCACAGTGGTCTTGCTGGACCTTGTACCAACCAAACACACTCTTGCCTTAAGGCCTTTGCAATAGTTCTATTTGCTACATGGAAGGCTCTTTTCCAGATCCCACATAGCTAGGGTGTGTCTAGATCCTGGTTTTGACAGAGAGTCCCTGTATTAGTCTGTTTTTGCACTGCTATAAAGTTACTACCTGAGACTGGGCAATTTATAAACAAAAAAAGTTTAACTGACTCACAGTTCCCCATGGCTAGGGAGGCCTCAGGAAACTTATAATCATGGCCATAGACAAAGGGGAAGCAGGCACCTTCTTCACAAGGTGGCAGGAGAGTGAGTACACTCAGTGGAAACTGTCATTTTTTTTAGCATTTTTTTATTGCATTTTAGGTTTTGGGGTACATGTGAAGAACATACAAGATTGTTGCATAGGTACACTGCCATTTTTAAACCATCAGTTCTCATGAGAACTCCCTCACTATTGCAAGAACAGTAGCATGGGGGATACCACCCCCATGATCCAATCACCTCCCACTGGGTCCCTCCCTCAACACATGGGAATTACAGTTGGAGATCATATTTGGGTGGGGACACAGAGCCAAACTGTATCAGTTCCCATCTGTGCTGCTACCCCAGCATAACAGGCACAATCTTCAGAGTGTCTCAATTGGGATAATAAATTATATAGTCACCCTACTCATGGCTCATTGCTTCATCTCTTTCAAGTCTGTTCAATCTCACCCACTCAGTGAAGACCCTCTGACCATCTGATTTTAAATTGTAACCCCTACCCCAGTTCCTCTACCCACCTTCCCTGCTTTGTGATTTTATTTTCTCCATGGCCCTTTCCACCTCCTGATATACTCTTACTTTTTTATTTATTATGTTTTACTGTCTGCCTTCTACAACTACAGTGTAAGCTCTGTGAAGACAGGCATAATGCCTGTTTTATTTTGAATACGATATCACCTAGAACAGTACCTAGCATAAAGCAATTTTCAATGAATATTGCTGCATAAATGGCAAATAAGTGCCTAGAGACTTGTTTTTTCACCAGCTATCAAAATGAAGTAAAATAAAAACTTGTCTTCAGGGATTTTGAGGACAAGTAAATATTTTACAAAACATTCCTTGAAGACACATAATCCAAAATGCCTTATTATCTAATTAAAATTCATCAGCTTGGTCTTTAAAAATGCTGGAGTTTTAAATATTTACCTGATTTAAATAAACATTTTCATAAACATATACAATACACAATTGTATTGAATATATAGATATACCAGGATTCCTTTGCTTGAAAATGATAGAAATATAACTTGAACTTCCTGAACCAAAAATAAAAAAAGTAGGGAATGTTTATAGGAAAGATACTGTGGATTCTCACAAAACTGAAAAAATGCCCAAGAACCAAACCTTTGTACAGCAGCTTCCAGGATTTTAGAAACTAGACACAAAAATTGAAACATAAACAAGATTCTTACTTCTCTCTTCTCTGCTTCTTGCTATATTTGAGGCTCATTCTCTCCTATTCCAGACCTACTGTGGAACTCCTAGTTTCTGGCTGTAGTTAAAAAAATAAAACTACTGGAGAAGTACTGAGTCTCATAGCCCCTGTTGGAATCACATCCACTGTGAGAAGACAGGGTAAAATCTTATGATTGGCTCAGTTTGGTTACAGGACTCCCTCACCCCCCAGAGCAGTCACTAAGGTCAGAAATGCAGGTTTACAGAATGGCAATAACCCTTCCCACCAGAATAGGAGAGAAGGAGGGAGAGGTACTCTTCAAAAGAAACTGAGTCCTTTTCCCAAAAGAGATAAGAGGTGCAGAGAAAACAAAAAAATAAAAATGTACTTCTAATATTTTTAAAATGCCACACAATGTTACAGCTTATTCTAGGGATTAATAAACACTAATATATGGTTTGCTCCTAAATAGGTATGATTTCTTTCTATACATTGAGTCTCCGATTCATCACTTTGATAAGCTCCTTGCAATTTTACCACCCAATAGCCAATTTTCTTTGCTTTAATAAAACATATTACCAAAATATTGTACATCCTTTAGTGATAGAAACTCTCTCTTTTTTCACTGCATTAAATAATGATATACATTTTCAATTTATCTGTGTTGAATGTTAGGATATAACAGCTGTATTTGTTTTTCACGATGTAAAGTGAATGATAATATCTCACAAGCTGATTTATTTCCTTCTTTTCTATCCACAATGATCTCACTATGCTATTTCAGCTTAAAAATATGGATATTGATACATCAGCTGCTTTAACTCTAGAGAATAGCTCTTACCCATGAACCAACAATTTTACTCAAAAGAGGAGAGACACAGAAAATAAAGAAACATTTCTCAGGCCATTTAAACCAAATTAAAAAAAATCCCAAAACCCATATAAGTTTTGACAGCATTGCAAGATTTCTTTTGTTAGGGTACAAGATACAGAAATTCCCAAGAAAATAACAAATCAATTAAAGCATGTATTCTCTTAATTAAAATTGTCATTGTTATTTTCATGTTATTAATAGAAAAAAAAAGTCTCGCTTACATTTCCAATTAAACTTGTGCAAAGCAAGTACTATAAATTGATCTAAAAGGCTGTGGATGGTATGTAGCATACTGTTTTTTGGATTTTGTTTTGTTGCATGGGTTTTTTTACTTTAAAGGAAACCAACAGATTTTATCTTCATTTAGAAAAATCATACATGCAGGGCCTGAAGCAATGATTTTATGCTATGACATAATGTTTTTGACACAAAAAGTACTTGCCAAAATGCAAGACACAAGAGCAAATATTTTAAGTGTTTTAAGAGGAGAAAGGAATATCTGGCTTTCATCAGTCAATGATATATTTAACATAAATAATGATTGAAAAATGACAGCTACAAGATATGATTTAGATGCTCCAAATTCCTACAAATACAAAGGTAAGAAATAACCGTTTCGTATTTTAGGGTTATTTTGCTGTGATGTGATTGAAATGCTTTACATTGCAACAAGCCTTATAATTGTATTAGTAACTGGTGAGTCATATCATGAATAACATCTTTAATTGAACACTTGCTTTCATATTATAGCTGCAACTCTGCCTTGATTTGGCACTATAGAAGAATAGGTTTAATCTTTCATCTTCCATCTGCTTTTTCTGTGTAATTTTACATTTAAAAAAAAAAAAAAAAAAAAAAAAAAAAAAACACCATGAAGCTATGTAATGATGGAGAGTTTCAACTAGTTATGGTCAGTAAAAATGATTAACATTAATTTTGGAAAAATGTGACTCTATTGAACCTTGAAGAGAAACAGTATACTTTCATAAAACCAGACAGAAATGTCTGTTCTAAGTGGCTCTGGGAAAATTATGCCAACACAAAATATTTTTCTCAAAAGACTCATACATCTGCTTTGGGACTTTAAAACTTCCCGTTTGTACATATCGACTGCCTCACTCTGGTGCAACAATATACTTTCCCATTACTGATGCTGTGCATTGGCCAGACTTGCTTTGGCCAACAGCATGTTAGCAGATGTTCTGTGAGGAGAGGCCATAAGTATACTCTTGTAGTTTGGGCTTAGCTATAGTGCTCTGATGATCTGCCTGAGAAGCATATCGTGGGAAGCTGCTAGCCCTTCAGCCTAGCAGCTTCACATGCACAGCTAACCTGAATCCCAACTATAGCCTGGACTGAAAGCCATCTATCTAACTCACCATTGGAAGCAGAGCCATCCAGCTGAGCCCTTCATACATTGGCCAAACCATGGTTAACCTGAAGACCTGTGAGCAAGAAAATTATATGCTTGTTGTAAGACACTGATTAGGGCAATGGTTTGTTAAAGCAATACTGACTAATACAGACAGGCTGCCTTAGTATAGTATGTTTAAGACTGAAGACTGTAAGGCCAAACTCCTTTACGTCAAATCTCTACAATTTATCAGCTGTGTTTCCTTATGTAAGTTATTTAAATCATGCCTCAGTTTTTTCACTTGTAAAATAGGATGATGATAATGCCTATCTCATGCAGTTAATATTTATAAAGTTTTTAGAACAGTGCCTGGTACACAGCATCCTCTGAAATAGTATATAAGGGATCAATAAAATAAACCTCATTCACTCACAAATGTGTCCCCTAACGACCCCTATCAAGAACATGATGGTTTCTATATTTGTTACTTCTTCCAGAGGGTGCTTGATTCTCCAGAGACTGTCTTCAGCATCATCAAGAGTTCGTGTTACCTAATGCTTCAGTGCTCCATATGTTGAAGACTCTTCTGATGAGTCAGATGACCTGAATTTGAATTCTTGTTTCACTCTCGAAGCACTGTGCCAGACACTGAGTGTTCAATGTTCTTATCAGTAAACTAGGTACCATAATAGCTCTTAGTTCTGCAGTTATCAGTATTAAATTAGATGCTCTATAGAAAATCTTCATGTACAATATTTATTGCACTGCAAAGACTTAATAAATGCTAGTTGTCCTTAATTTGTTCAAACAGTTTTAGGAACTACAAGGTCACTTTAGCTTATTAAGAAGTGGATTTTAAGTTCAAAGTGTTATTTACCTAAATTCATTAAAAGGTAATCTCTGATCAATTTAAGACAAAATAGATTTTTAAAAAAAGCACCTAAAACCAACAAAACAACACTGCATCATTTTCTCTCATCTGCTACCCAAAATCTTTTCAGCTTTTATTTTCATTTTGTTCTGATTTATCATTATAATACAAATCATAAAAATAATTCTTGTTATTATGTCTCTGTTATCTTCATTTTATTTTTATGTAAATAATGTTATCTCTACCTTCTATTTACTAACACTATTTCTCTTATTAATCAAAAAGAGCCTTCAGATCACATTCATTTCAGTGGAAATTTAATTTAAAAGGTAAGACACGTGGATTATGTAAAATACTAAGCCACAATGTGTACATCTTTTACATGAAAATAGCCTTAATTTCCCTGCTTGACTGAGAAAAGAAATAAAAAGAATGATTGCTATAAATCAGGAAAAATTCATAACTTGCTGGAGGTATAACAGCTGTTGATTTAAGGTTTGCATCTTCGATAACACAATGCTGCTGGGAAGATAACATCTTTTTGACAAAGCTGTGAGCATAAAAATTACAAGGCTTTACTCGACATTTAAATATTTTCTCAATATCACTTAGAGAAAAAACATTTTCTTTTATTCACTTACACTAAAATATGTTTGAAGTTTACTGTATCTCATCAGCCAGCTTTACAATAAAATTTGGTGTTTTCTTGTTTCATAAGTGTACAGTAGATGTGTCATATCACAAATAAAAATTAATTATCCTCAGTTTAGAGAAATGGTCTACTGTTATGTACAAATAGTTCCTACCATTATTAATACAACACAGAATTGCGCATACACTCGGGATATTATTCATTTCTTTTATTATCAGCTAGAACTAGATGACTGAAAAATTAGGTGACAAAACAAAGCAAGTATTGCATTGGCTGAAAAAAAAATCTTCAAAGTAGAATCTTGAAAAAAGTAGAATCTTGTGAAAGACAATAACTTTGCCAAGGAGTTGGAAACAATAGCAGAGTTTTTATTTATCTAGAGGCTGCTATATTATTTATTGTACATGTTCGTGTACTGTTGACTCACAAGCTATGAAATTTTATGCTGAGGTTTTGTGTTTCTTATTTATCAGTGAAATGCACTGAAAACATCATCAAGTACCTAGAATAATGCTAAGTAATGGCCTTGTCTACTCACTCTTCAACAAAACCTGTGTGCTTCCTTTCTTTTATGAATTGCATTTACCTTAGAAAACAAATTTGCTTCTTACCATTAAACTTTTTTTTTGCTTCTGTCTTTTACCTAAGACCATCTTGCAATGTCACTATAATGCTGTAATGCCTGTATGCCCCAGCCCTGTAGCCATCTCGAGTCACTTCTTCTTTGAATGTTCAGATAAAATGATTTGACTCCCCATACTACATGCTTGGGGAAATACAGATCCCTTTTTGTCCCCCTTGTGAATTAGGGCAGTGTTGCCTACAATTCTTCTGGATACGTCTTGTTCCAGTTTTACTCTGAATACCTGCTCTCGCCTAATTCTTGATTCATAAGAGAGGTTTCTCCTGGACCTTCTTGGCACCATTTCATTCCAAGTAGGACGGTACTCCTGGTCCATTGTCCAGAACATGTACTAAAGGTTGTGGGTATAACAGAGTGTTACTGGAGGCTTGGGGAGAATGGAAAACAGAAAACAGCCTTAAACTGAACATTGACTGTCATTTCTCATTCACTTACTCATTCATTAACAAATATTTATTAAGCTCTTACCCTGTACAGGCACTAGAGTGAACATCATGGAGCTACAGAAGTTAACAAAAAAGATTAAATCCTCTGCTTTGATAGAGTTTGCAGTCTACTTATTCCAGAGAGATCATAAACAAAATAAGTCAGTAAAGCAGATAAGTTAGAGAGTAGTGTTTTCAAAAGAAGTAAAGCAGAGAAGGCGGAGAAACTTTAGGGAGGGGTGCACTTTTAAGAAGGGTGGTAGGGAAAGATTTACTGTAAAGGTGTTATTTAGAAAAAGACATAAAGGAAATAAGGGAAGAAGCCATGATGATTATGTTTGGCAAGAGTGGTTTAGGTAGAGGAAAATAGCAAATGCAAAGGCCCTGAGGTCAGAGCCTCCCTGGTATATTAGAGTTCTAGCAATGAGGATGCTAGGGCTGTTCTCAAATTTCTCAGCACCTAGACCCTTCTCCTGATTCCAGAGTTCTATATTAACTCTATTTTTTTGTTATTGTTTTCTGTTTTCATGGTGCTCTGTTATCTGGGGCCTCACTGACTAGGTAGAGACTGCCCCTCCTAGATGTAGCCAATTCTTAAAAATAGCAAACTATTCCCCCTGTAGTAAATGGAGTTTTTCATACACAAACTTACCAAACCACAGCCCCTATTCCAGCACCTCCTCCATCTGACTTTTACAGACCCGGAGGCAGCATTTTCCTGCCCTGATTACCCTAGGGCCAAGTACTAGGCAAGGAGGGACCACCTCTACAGGCCAGAGCCTGCTGAAGTTATTCGCACTGTTCAATCCAAAGCCTGCTGAGCAATTCACCTGCCTGGCCCATTTCTTCATGTGAGAAGCACAGTAAAGGCTCTGTCTGTGCGTGTCCTTCACAATTCTATCTCCTGACTGATCTGATCCTAACATTTCTCATATGGCCCTGCATGGCCTGGTGTGCCCCTCCTCTTGGGAACTATGAGTAACAAACTATCTTTTCAGTGGCAGTTGTCTCTTTATCTCTTGGCCCCACCATACCTGAATAAACCAAAATCCCAAGTACATTTTCAAACAAGTCCCTACCTAGCAGCCAGTAGACAACTTATAAATTCATTTTATTCCTCAACAGAGAAATAGGGGTAGTTTTCTTTCCATTCAGACTAGGTCTTGGGTCTGCCATAACTAAAAGCCATATTAATTAACTTTCTTACAAAAAATAAAAGTTATTCCTTATGGCCAAAAAAATTCTACTCCAGTTCTGATTATACAACCATCACCTTTTGACATCACTCCATAGCCTCACTCCAGTTGACCACACCTTTAACTCTTTAATATAAGTGGTGCTTCCTAATCAGATGTCATCTACCACCTAAAATGTGAGCAGTATGTTCAGCAAGGAGGTAACCAGATCTGAGCTAAGCATAGTATTTCCAGAAGATCTTGTGACCCAAGAATATGTATAGCTTTTTAGAAGTAACCACCTACAGACCATAACAAGCTGGTTTCCCTAGAGATTCTATGTTCTGCATTTTCTGGGCTCTAAGAAAAACACCTGTTTGGTTTGATAACACAAAAGCAGCTAAGGCAGGAATGGCCTCATGGGCCACTCCAAACTTTGATAGGAGATTAATAAGTTAATTTCTTAAACTATCAGACAACAGAACTCTTATCAAACTTAATGTTCCTCCAAAATGAAGTGGGGGACTTCCTTAAACAAGTAAATTTTGTCAATACTTCATCATATGTTTTTCAAACTTGGATACTGGCACATTAGACTGTGATTTAAGAGGGAGAGGAATGTAAATAAATGCTAGAACCCATAAAAACCTGACCCCCGATATTACAGTTGTCTTAGTGACTAGGGAAACATTCAATATTTCAGTTGCCTTTGTGTATGCTATTTTTTTTTAAATTTTCATGCCTGACCTTAGTTGTTACATAATATAGTTTTATGTACTTCTAATTTTTTATCAAAAGACAATCAAACTTCATCTGCTAAATTTCTGCCTAGAATGTGACTTAATTCTATGGGAATGACATAGTTCTGATATCCAAGTGTTGATAATAAATGTCCAAATTCCAAAATGATAATATCATTTTTGTTACTTCTTTTTCACAGTTTATATTAATACTTGGTACTAAAATAACCTCAGTGTATTATTTTTCATTTACATTTCTACACAGTGATGAAAACAGAATAATGATTCATAGTAACAGTATGCTTGCCTTAAAAAGAGTTTTATGCTACATTACTGTATTTTCTAGTTTATAAGCTTGGACAGTTTATAAGGCACAACCGACTTTTATAAGCATATTTGGCTGGAGTGGAATTTTATAGTAAGGAGAGTAGAAGGAAAATGCATCTCCTTGCTTTGATAAGGTCGACGGGTCTTTCTGCTAGGGTGTCCTGAGAGCTTTTGCAATCAGCCACTCTGGGAAAAGCTTAAGAGTTGTGAGTGGGAAGCTCTGGAATTTGTTAAAATATCAGTATACTAGGCCATCATAGGATTTCACCATCTAGTAGCAGCTACTGCAAATTTTAGCCAGTTACTCTGAATGAGATCTATTTGGGGTGTGTGGCTGAACAATTTACTTCTGTAGACAGCTTTTATTTGACAGAGTGAATTTCCATATTCTAAATTGACTATGATGTGATTGATACATTAGAAAACATGTTTTACAAAACACAGATTATTGGTTATATCAGGATCAGGTCTGGTTGCCAACGCACATTCATGTAAGAAGTAAAATTGAAGCAACTGTTACAACAGCTGCTTTCTTTATCATAATAGATGTAATAAGGATGATAAGAATGTATGGAAGCACGGAGCTGGTGGTATAGTTAATAGTGATAAGAAAACAAAGAGTGTTATTAATGACCCAAACCTAGATAGGGTCTAAGGTAATATTTATTAAAATTCCTACGAAAAATACGATTTTATTTTTGTACATTTTTTTCCAATTCTTTAAGATTTAAGGCTCTGTGTTCTCACGGCACAACAGTTTTTATAACACAACTTTTGATAACTCAGGGATTTTTCAGCAACAAAACCATTAGGTGGTGGCAGACCAGAGACACACTTGCTAGCACATCTAGAAATTGACAATATTTGTGTCATTTCTTATATTGTAAAAATATTTATTTGCCCATGTCTCTTAAAATGAATATTGAGTTATCACATTTGAGAAGTTCATTCTGACTTGTAACATGGTATTAGCATCTCACCTATCTCCTCTTTTGACAGTTCTCATTATCTTTAAAGATCAACTGTTCCTCTAGCATGCATTAGGGAGTTTTGCGCCACCTTCTTCCTTACCTCATAGATTGCTGCTAAATCTCATCTCCCTTTTTTTTTATGTATGACTTTATTTCAAGCTATGTATCTGTATAAATAGTTAAGCTAATTTTGATAAAATATTAAGTAAGCTTTCATAAGGCATTAGGCAAATGATTTAGTAAAGTCCAGATATATTACATCTACTAAATTACCCTCATCCATTTCATAATTTGATCAAAGGAATGCAATTCAATATTCGGCATGATGTGTTCTGTATCAGCCCATGCTGTTTATCACTCAGGCTTTCACTACTCTCTGGATGCATATTGATATGGTTTGACTATGTCACCACTCAAATCTCATCTGGGATTGTAGCTTCCACAATTCTTTCATCATGGAAGGGACCTGGTAGGAAGTAATTGAAACATGGCGGCGGGAGGAAAGAGGTGGTCTTTCCCATGCTATTCTCATGATAATGACTGAGTCTCATGAGATCTGATGGTTTTTAAAAGGAGAGTTCCCCTGCACAAGTTCTCTCTTGCCTGCTGCCATGTAAGACATACCTTTTCTATTCCTTCATCTTCTGCCATGACTGTGAGGCCTCCCCAGCCATATAGAACTATGAGTCCATTAAACCTCTTTCCTTTATAAATTACCAATTTGGGTATGTCTTTAATGGCAGCATCAGAATGGACTAATACAGACATTGGTATCAGAA